TATACTCTCAAGCTGAAGGGACCAGTATCAATCAGCACAAGACACTCAAGACCACGTTCTCAGTACAAAGGGGGGACAGAGGACAAGGGAGAAGGAGGAGGGGAGGGATATTGTCCTGGAGGTACAAAGGGCTGCTTCTGGAAGACAGATGTGGCCCAAGGCGAATGGTGGTTTATGAAGGGGAAAGGGGAAACCCAGTGTTAGGATGAGGTGTTTAATTTTGATTGGACAGGTTAATTGGGGCAACCAAAGGGGCTTTTGATTGCTGGATTTCAATACTTTATTAGCTGGACCTTGGTAGACAGCGTCATGGGGAGGAGACGGCCAAATAAGGGAGCAGACCTTGGTGAGTAGCTTTAGGAATGTAATCTGATGGTTTTTTTTTTTAACAAGGTAGAGGGAATCAGGGAGGGGCAGGGCCTGCCAGAATCATGTTTGCCATGTTCGGGGCTGGCTAGAGTCCCTTCGAAAGCTTCAAAGAGAACTGGTAGCTAACCGTTCTAGAAACACTGGAGAATCATAGGAAGGACACAGTGTGGGTCTGTAGCATTGCCCTGAGGCTCCAAAGCCACCTTTAAACTAAAGATGTGTCTAAAAGCGGCCATAGGCCAGGAAGACTTCTACGCCCACCAGGGCCCTGCTGCAGTTTGGATGATGAATGGCGCACAAAGACCCTCGTGTAGGAAAGGTTGGCTGCCAGCTTAGGTGGAGCCTAATGGGAGAACCTTGGGTCATTAGGGGTGCGCCTTCCAGGGGGGACTGTGGGATTTCGCCAGCCCCCTTTCTTTTGCTTCCTGTGTGGGAGGTGAGTGTTCCTCCCTGCAATTCCTGTCATTTGCCTAAGCATGATAGATCCTACCCAGCCACAAGGTAGAGATCCTAAAGCCAGGAGCCAAAGGTCTGGGAATGTAGTTTGAGTTGAAAGACATGGTCCTTCCATTTATGAGGCTCTGGGTTCTGCAGATTTTAAAAAGAAAACAAAACCAGCCTCCTCCTTGCCTGCCTGTGGGCACTCTGAGTGGCTTTCCTGCTTATGCCAACTGTGTGGGAGGGCAGCATGACAGGAGACTAGAGCTGAGAGAAAGAAAGGCCTAACAGAGCTAGACGCACATACTTAAACTGCCTGGTCTACAAGACTGTGTTCCAGGACAGCCAGGGCCTGTCTTGAAAAGCCAAAAAAAAAAAAAAAAGTGTATGAGTGTTTTGCCAGCATATATAGTTACTCCTAAAGATGCAAGAAGAAAGAGTACCTATCCAAATCATTGTGACCAAATTAATAAAGGCAAGCAATTAATTAAAGCAGGCCTTTTTATTCCTGAACCCTTAAGGTGGAGTTCCAGAGGTCAGCATTGGGCACGAGGAAGACAGGTTTTTATAACTCAGGGGCAGGGGCCTCCCAAAGCGGGGGATTTGGCAGGCAAATGGGAATGGTAACAGGAGTAGTACTTAAGTATACAGGTTAGTTCTAATATAGATGTGATTGCAAGGTAGTGTACCAAGGTAGTCATAACAACAGGTAGTCACAACATCCTTTTGAAACAAAGGTAGGGTTGCAAGATAGTTAAAAACAACTTTTTGAAACAAAGACATGGCTGCTGTTTCCTGGGACAGGCAGTTCAGAACAATTTGTAGTTAAGGTTACAGGACGACATAGCCCAGTCCCTGGGAAACAGGTTTAATCATAAACAAGAATGAGCTTAGTTTGTCTTTGTGACAAGAATGGCTTCTTTTTTTCTTCCAGACAGAGTCTCTCTGTGTAACAGCCCTAGTTGTCCTGGAACTCGCTCTGTAGACCAGGATGACTTCAAAATCACAGAGATCCGCCTGCCTCTGCCTCCCAAGTGCTAGGATTAAATGCCTGTGCCACCACTGCCTGGCTCGATAAAACAGCTTTTAAGCTTAAAAGTGGAGGCAGGCAGGCTCATCATTATGTCTGTGCACCATGTGTGATTTTCCTGCTGAGGTCAGAAGAGAGTGTCGATCCCCTGGAACTGGAGTTATAGAAGGTTACGAACTGCCAAGTTAGCACTAGGGATTGAACTCAGGTCCTCAGCTACAAGTGCTCTTAGCCTCTGAGCCATCTCTCTAGGCCCTGACATTTACTTTACAAGTATTTAGAGCCAGGAGTGGAGCTAGTGGAGATAGCTTGACTATCAAGGATCAATCTCGGACTGGGCGGTGGTGGTGCACGCCTTTAGTCCCAGCACTCGGGAGGGAGGCAGAGGCAGGCGGATCTCTGCGAGTTTGAGACCAACCTGGTCTACAAGAGCTAATTCCAGGACAGCCTCCAAAGTCACAGAGAAACCCTGTCTCTAAAAACCAAACCAAACAAAACAAAAACAAGACTCAATCCCCAGACACCAAACAAATAAAATTTTACTTGTGTTCTCTTACCTTAAGAGTTACTCTGTAACACAGGATTGTGTAATCACTGGAGCGCTTAAGGATTTATAAATGTGCATTACTGACCACAAGGTGGCGCCACAAAACCGTCTTACTTTCATAACAACAAAGGCAAAGTTGGTTGTGGTACAAGAGTCTGTCCTTCGCAGACTGGGACATTTGCTAGTTTGCCAAGCTGTGTAGACCAATAGATTGGCCTCAAAGGTCCCCCTTTCTGGCCTCACTCACAAAGTGCTAGAATTATACCACGTCGTCCCTCAAGACTGAGGCTTAAAAACAAAAACAGCAGCAAACCCTTGATAAAGGGAGACCAGAAAGGAGCCACCGAGGCTGGGAACAAGGTGGCCTGCAGTGTCTGAGTGTGGATGTCTCTGTGCACTGAGAAAATTACATATAGGACAAAAAGAATCCACAAGTGTCAACCTAACAGATGGTATATGTAGTGAAATAGATGTTTACTTTGGGGCCTTGGGGAGGGGTTGGTGGTGGTGGTGGGGAAGGGCTCAGTTGATGAAAGTCCTTACTTCAAAAGCATGAGAAGACCTTGTTTATGGTTTTGTTGGTTGATTTTCAAGACACGGTTTCTCTGTGTAGCCTTGGCTGTCCTGAAACTCACTCCATAGATAAGGCAGGCCTCGAACTCACAGAAATCTGCCTGCCTCCCCAATGTTGGAATAAAAGGCATGTGCCGCCACCACCAGGCTACTCTGGACTCATGATGTAGACCAGGCTGGTCCCAAACTCACAAAGGTCTGCCCAACCTGGTTTGTGGTTTGTAATCTCAGCTCTCAGGGCAGACAGGCTAATCCTAATGCCGCTGGCCACCCAGCCTAGCCTAACCTGGGAGCCTCAGACCAGAGACCTTTTTTCACAAAACGAGAATGGCTCCTAGGGAACGACACTTGAGGTCGGCCTTGGGCCTCCACGTGTGTGCCTACACACATGCACATGATCCTGAACATACAACACAGCTACCCACAAAAGGGGCTATCTCTCAGGGTATCCTCAACCACAGTTACAGGGTAGCCTGGGGCAACGTGAGTTGGTTTTTTTTTTTTTTTTTTTGGTTTTACGAGTCAGGGTTTCTCTGTATTGATTTGGAGGCTGTTGGACCAGCCTGGCCTGGCACTCACAGAGATCCGCCTGCCTCTGCCTCCCGAGTGCTGGGATTAAAAGCGTGCGCCACCACCGCCCAGCTTGCAATGTGAGATTTTTGTCTTACAAAAAATTCAGAGGCTGAGTGTAGTGGCAACCACCCTTAACCACCGCTCTCAAGAGGTAGAGGCAGACAGATTTCTGTGAGTTCAATACCAGCCTGGTCTATATAGTGAGTTCGAAGTTAGCTAAGACTAGAGACTTTGTATTAAAAAAAAAAAAGGAAAGATAGAATATATTCACACTGAACTTCAGTGTGTAACCCACGCTGGCCTCAAACTCAAGAGCTGCTTCACTCAGTAGCCCAGGTTTGGGATTACAAGCATGTTGCCATGCTCAATTCAGGTTTGGGATTACAGGCATGCAGCCATGCTCAATTCAGGTTTGGGATTACAGGCATGCAGCCATGATCAATTCAGACATTCTCTTTTGGTTAAGAGTGTGACTTAGCATGTGAGGCCCTGGATTCCATCCCCAGTACTGAAAGAAAAAAACAAAAACCTCTGATCACTAAACCTAGAACCAAAGCGTTACAAAGAATCTATTTGGATCTCAGCACTCAAGAGGCAGAGGCTGGAGGTGGCTCTCCAGAGGACCAGAGTTCAATTCTTAGCACTCACAGGACAGTTCACATCACCTGCAACTCCAGTTAAAGTGGATCTGATGCCCTCTTGTGGGCTCTGTGGGTCCCAGGCACACATGTGCACAAACACGCGTGCAAGCAAAACACCCCACACAAAGACCTAGTGAGACCACAGAACAAAAAACCAGAACCAAGGCCATCATCCACCTGCGTCACATGAAATGATGTAAGAAGAAAAACCAGCTACGAAGAACGAAATTCTCAGCTGGGACTTTTGACTTTCCTGTCTTTATTGATACCTGGAGTGAAAGCCACGGAAGAGCTGGGGACAGGTGCTTTCCATTTGTCAATAGAGGTGACCCTTGAGTGTGAACAGAGTAACCATGGCGACACAGCCCTGTGGTCTCAGCACCTGGGAGGCTGAGGTAGGAGGGATGTGAGTTCAAAGGCAGCCTGTGGTCTACCGTGTATTCCAGGCCAGCCTTGGATACACAAGACGCGGTCCACACACACACACACACACACACACTGGTGACCACTGGGGCAGGAGGTGACCTCTTTTTTGCTGCATCAGTGCACAATGTCAACCAAAGATCCAGGAGGCTCAAGATAATGCAGGTGTCCTAGACGATGCCACCTGGCTCCTTAGGGCCCCTGGTGCATTCTGCTTTTGGTTCCACGAGTCATGAAGAGAGCTCTAAGATCTTGAGTATGATGCGCCTATGCTCTCCCCTAAACAGGTTTCTCAGTCTGTGGTGCCCCAGGACCGAACTCTGTTGCTACAAAGAACCAAAAGAACATTCCCACAGAATACAACAGGAGGAAGCCCAAAGGATGCAATCCTGGAAAGAAGGTGACATTGTTTTTATATAAATATCTTTATTTATATGGCATACAAAAGGTATAAATATGATTTATGTAAAACCTATCACCCGCACACTCAAGCACAGAGCCTGTGAAATGAGCGTATACAGCTCTCTTAGCTGGACAGAATGCATAGATCCAGTGGCCCAAGGCCCCCACGCCATTTAACTGGAGATGAATGAACAACTTTCTGCTCAACAGAGGTGGCTTGTCGGGGACAGTGGGTGGCAGAGGTGTGACAGGCTTCAGAGCACGTTTATGAACAAGGCACTGAATGGGAAGCATGCCTGAGGCAGAAACTAGTGACCCCTGAAGGGACAGACAGGACAACAGGACACCCGGTGAACCCACCTCCCACATCGCACGACATCATGCAGCCATTGGATGCTGAGCAGGGAGCAACAGAGGCAGGGGCCAAGGGACCTCCTCCACCCGGCAAAACCACAGAGCAGTAGCCAGCAACCCTACGCCCACGCAGGAAGCAGTTTGGGAGTGGACAACCACTGAACAAGGGCCGAAGTTTTGGAATTCTCAAGGTCAGGTACATCCTGGGCTGGTGAACTGGAGAATTTCTCATGATTTTCCAGGAAGTGTTCATGATCTCAAACCTCGGGGAGCCAGGGCGTGTCGGCACTGGTGGGTCAGGGTTGAGGGTCAGAGGACAAAGCTGACCCGTCAAGGCCTGTGGAGTGAGTGAGGCAGTCCTGTCGCCTCTTACGCCTCTTACACTAGACGAAGACGTTGGAGAGCAAGGCGTTCAGAGGTCTGGACAGTCACTCCGCTGAGATGGTTGCCCACCACCCTGCCCTGAGGACAGGGAAGAGGGAGGCTGAGGCATGAGAGCCTTCCCAGACCTCAGGGACAAGGTAGTGTCACATGACCCAGAAAAAGAAAAGAAGACACCGACTTGAGCTCTATGAAGGCAGATGACACCTACAGCCATCATCACCGTGAGGTAAAAGTGACCAAGAGCGGATTCGGCACAAGTACCTCTTAAGGGTCAGTCTTGAAGGGCGGTGGTGGCGCACACCTTTAATCCCAGCACTTGGGAGGGAGAGGCAGGCGGATCTCTGTGAGTTAGAGGCTAGCCTGGTCTACAGAGTGAGTTCCAGGGTATCCAAGACATGGAAACCCTATCTCAGGAAGAACAAAACAGAAAAAAAGTAAAAATAAGATGGGTCAATCTGCTGCCCCTAAAAAGTAAACTGTGTCCCTCTCCACTTATGATCTGGAAGATGCTTCAGCCTCAGAGTACAAGGACACACCGAGGCAGGCTGGAAAACTAGAGCCCAGGCCAAAGTAGGCCAACACCCACTGTGTAAATAAAGTTTTACTGGGACACAGCCACATTCTTTGTGCACCAACTGGTTATGGCTGTTTTTGTGCTCAAGAGGCTAACTAGAGACAGTGCAAGAGGCACCATCAGTTCATTGGCTGAGAAAGTCTGCAGGCTCCTGTCTTAGAGGCTAAAGGCATCCAAGGGAATAGCCCCCTTTTGAAAAGGTCTTCAAAAGAGGAGGCCCACGCAGGCATTTCATCATAGAACCTGATTCTGCTGGAAGCGCCTGACACAGGGAAGCTACACTGTTGCTGAGAAGCTGCTGTGCTGTCAGGAGTAGGAGTCACCAGTGTGCCCAGGTGTCCACCTCCCTGGGCTTTAAGCCATCTCTCACCCACACGGAGCTGTGGTCTATGGCCTGGTCTCTGAAGCTCAGAGATGGCATGAACGAGTGTGTGCAAGCATTCCTCCACACGTATGCATGTATGAGTGCACATGCACATTCACACACGCTCGCTCATCCCTGGAAGGGGCAGAAGGTTGCTCTTCTTGTGCTGGGGCAGGTCTAGGGCAGCCGCTTCCTGCTCCTGAAGGCTCTGTGGTGAGGACGTTACTACTTGCTATTTCTCATTCACACGCCAGCTTGCTGTCAAAGCTCGACAGCCCGATGGCGAAGGCTTGAAGTGCACACAGTGGGTAGTTATAGTCTAGTGTGAACACATCATCAGCCACGCGTCCAAACTGCATGACTATGTAGTCAGCTGGGAACAGAAAGAAACGAACACGTTAGAGGTTAATGTGGTTGCACCGGGGATGGCACCAGCTAGTTGCAAGTTCTCTTTACAATAGGCTGGAGAGATGGCTCAGTAGTTAAGAGCACTGGTTACTCTTCCAGAGGACCTGGGTTTGATTCCCAACACCCACATGGCAGCTCACAACTGTCTGTAACTCCAGTTCCTGGGGACCTGACACCCTCACACAAACATACATGCAAACAAAACACCAATGCACATAAGTTATTTTTAAAAATAGGCAACTAAGAGGAGGAAATGGCTCAGTGGTACAGCCCTTGCCTAGTAAGTAGGAAGTACCAAGTTCCACCCCAGCACACAAATAAAAATAGATAAATGAGTAAATAAAGCAGGAAGCTTGCAGTTGGGTGTGGTGGTATACACTTGCAATCCCAGCATTCAGGATGAGACAGAAGGTGTACAGTTCCACCGGCTGGGCCTACATAGCAAGACCCTGACTCAAAAAGGTAAAATCAGAAGTTTCTATTTCTGTTCTTCTTCCTACAGACTGGGAAATTATTCCTGACTAACATGGAGCGCAGGAGGAAAGCCCAGAGAAGCAGGCAGGACCAGATGTGATAGGGCTTTTCACCCGGCGGGCTTCACTGAGGTCGCCTGCACCTGGGTTCTAAATGGCCTCACCCAAGAGTTCTTTGCTACGCCACAGAAAGACGCTAACACTCCCTTGGCCCCGTGGCTCTGTTTCTTCAAGAGATCATTAATTCAGTCACCCCCTGTTGGCATGGTTTCTTTAGCCACTCCCTCCTGGCATTGTTTCTGCACAGAGTACCTTTCCCAGCCCCACCTAGCCCCTCCTGCCAGCCCTTCCCGCGGGCTTACGGTCGTTTCCATGGACTATCTGAAAGTTCTTCACGGATGCCTGGGTGACCCTGCCGTGGAAGTTGAGGACATAGGACTGGGTGTCGTCACTCCACACTGGGGCCTTGTTGTGCAGTTCGATCAGGTTCTCCATGGACTTGCTTTGCCACTTTGAAAGCAAGCTCTCATGCTCCTGTGTGGAGAGAATGACTGTCATGTAGTCACAATTCTGAGAGCCAGAAAGTAGAAGCAGGAAATGCTGGAAACGCAACAGACAACTGAAGCCAAACACTACAAGCTTTGCGATGCTTTTTAACATTTTTTTCTCTAAAATCAATTACTGATCTCTGTTTTCATTTTAAGTTACAGATGGCTGTCAGCTACCCTGTATGTGTGCTGGGAACTGAACCTGGGTCCTCTAGGAGAGTAGCCAGTGCGCTTAACTGCTAAGCCATCTGTTCAGACCCAGCTTTAAGATTCCAATGTGCCGCCGGGTGTTTCTCAAGTCAGCATCTCTGGACCACCCCTATTCTGGGGATCGTGAGCAGTGACCCTTCTAACAACAGAAGAGCTACACGCCGGCCTGATTCCAAAGAAGCAATCCTTCCTTTCTTTCTTTCTTTCTTTCTTTCTTTCTTTCTTTCTTTCTTTCTTTCTTTCTTTCTTCTTCGAGACAGGGTTTCTCTGTATTGTTTTGGAGGCTGTCCTGGAACTCGCTCTGTAGACCAGGCTGGCCTCAAACTCACAGAGATCTGCCTGCCTCTGCCTCCTGAGTGCTGGGATTAAAGGCATGTGCCACCAACGCCCAGCTTTTTTTCCTTTTTTTGGTCTCTTCTGTACAGTATTACTGCATTCAAGGTATATCACTGTCTTCTAGAGACCTTTGCTGATGGAATATAATTTTTCTTCTGTCTTTGAGACCGGATCTCACTGTGAATGTATTTCTACTTACATTTCGTGGGCGAAATGGGATGCGTTCATGATTCATATTCATCCCTGGAATGATCACAGACATTTTCCTAGGACCTTTAAAACCCAGTACATTTGTTTCCTGGAAGACAGTAAAACAAGACCGAATTTGGAAGTGGAAGGGACGAAGATAAACCTAGGTCTGTTTTTACAGGAAACCTCTTCTGGCACAGAAAATACTGCCAATGTCAAGAGTACCAAAACCACTGTCAGCCTTGAGATCACCAAAGTCGGCCTCATTTCTTTGCTGGGGCTAAACACAGAACCTGAGAATCGGACACAGAAGTCAGGCGTGGTGGTACACACCTGCACATACATGTCCCAGTACTTGGGAGGTTGGAGTAATAAAACTGCTTGAGCCTAGGAGTTTGGGGCTCGCCTAGGCAAAGTAGTGAGACCTTGTCAAGGAAGGCAGGAAAGAAAAGAAAGCCAGCTGTGGTGGTACACACCTTTAACCCAGAACTCGGCAGGTTGAAGCAGGAAGGTTGAGAGTTTGAGGCCAGCCTGGAATATGCAGCAAGGCTGGGCATACAAGAAGACCCTGTCTCAAAGAAGAAAACAAAGCAACAACTACAAAAAAAGAAAAAAGAAAGAAACAAAAGAAAGAAAGAAGGAAAGAAAGGAGGAAGGGAAAGATTAAATGCAAAGAGATGGCTTTAATTTTAACTTATTTTTTATTGTTGTCTCTGGCCAAAGAAAGAAAGAGGGAGGATAGTGGAGAGTGAATCATAACTGAACTTGGTGATCCAAATCCCGTTAAAACTCAAACACGGGAAGAAACGGTGCCAGTTCCTAAAAGGGGATCAAAGGAGCATGAAGGGAGACGGAGCAGAGCTGACTGGCTGTACAGAGGCGAGCACCGGCGAGGCATGGACAGCACTTACATAGCAGATGGCGGCCAGCTCCTGTCGGGTGTGGGCCTTTTCCACCAGACCCTGGGCCTTGACTGGGTTGACACCATGGTCATACACCGTGAACTTGGTCCCCATGAGATTGGATCTGGTATCAGGAGAAAAAGCTACCATGATGATCTGCATTTCCCTCTCGAGGAGACAAGCGGAGGGGACGCCTGTCCGCCTGCCAGGCAAAGAGCGGCACAGACACACTCTCTCAAAGACCACACATCACAAGGAAGGGATTATTTACTTAGACTCATCTCATCCTCTCTATCCTAGGCCGGCCTTGAACTTGTGGGTAAGGTCCTTTTGCTTTAGTCTCCTAGGTACTGGGATGACGGGCCTGAGCTATATTATGCCTGGCCCAAGATTTTCTTTCTTTTAAATTTTTATTTAAAAAATTTAATAAACAATTTGCTACCAATAAATAATTTAATAAAATATGTCATTACTATTTTTATTTTACTTATTGAGACAGGGTCTCTCTATGAAGCCCTTGTTGGCCTGGATCTCATGATCCACCTGCTTCTGTCCCCTAAATTCTGGGACTAAAGGTGTGTGCCACTATGCCTGGCCTCAAAAGTTTCTTTTTAACTTTTTTCTTGTTTCCATGTTTTGTTTTTTGAGACAGGGTATCTCTGTTTAACAGTCCTGGCTGTCCCGGACTTGCTTTGTAGACCAGGCTGGCTTCAAACTCACAGAGATCTTCCTGCTTCTGCCTCCCAAGTGCTGGGATTAAAGGCGTGCACCACCACTGCCCAGCTGTTTTCTTTCTATATGAGCACATCTGTATACTCGAATAATTTAAAAACAAACAAGCAAACAGAAAACAATAACAAGGGTTTGGAATATAGCTCAGTGGTAAAGCAATTGCTTAACATGCTGAGGCCTTAGGTCCAAGCCCAGTAACAGAGAACAAGAGAACCGGGCAGGGGTGGGGGATAAAACAACTACTACTCTGAAATTACAGGAATTATGGAAACACTAGGCCGGCCATCTGAGGCTCCATCACCTGAGTTTGCCGATGTAACTTTCCCCTTCACGAGACAAATCTGTCGGGTCTGTGGAGACCAGGTAGTTGGATGTTTTGCTCTTTTTTCGCTTCCTACCAGCAAGAAGAAATATCTGAGAAAAGAAAAATGTCAAACACAAGTCCAGTAAGACCACAAATGTCTACCAGTATTTATCATCTGCAAAGAAGTCAATCTCAGCGCTTGGGAGGCAGAGGCGGGGATCTCTGTGAGTTCAAGACTAGCATGAGCCAGGCGTTGGTGGCGCACGCCTTTAACCCCAGCACTCGGGAGGCAGAGGCAGGCGGATCTCTGTGAGTTCAAGGCCAGCCTGATCTACAGAGCGAGTTCTAGGACAGCCTCCAAAACAATACAGAGAAACCCTGTCTCGAAAAAAAAAAAAAAAAAAAACAAAAACAAAAACAAAAACCAAAAAAACAAAAACACTAGCCTAGTCTACAGAGAGAGCGCCAGGACAGCCAGAGGTACATAGAAAGACCCTGTCTCAAAGTAACAACAACAAGGAAAAAAAAAAAAAAAACACGAAACAAAACAAAAAAACCCCAGAAAATAACTGAGAGTGGTGTCCAGCACTAGGAGGCAGAGGCAGGTGGAACCTGGGGTTCAAGGCCAGCCTGAGCTACACACAGGGAAACCCTGTCTCAAAACAAACAAACAAACCCAAAATCAAAACACAAAAACCACAAAATAAATGAAATCCAGCACTTGGAAGGCTGAGGCAGGAGGATCTAAAGTTCAGCAAGTCACCCTCAGTCTAAGTCTGAGGCTATCCTGGGCTACACGAGAGCCCATATAAGAAAGGAAAAGATGTGGAAAGAGGAATACTCGCACACTCCTAAGCTCTCTCGGTGCTGGGTCAGCTCAGTGGTGGGGCGGCCCGGTGACTGGGGCTCAGTGGTGGGGCGGCCCGGTGACTGGGGCTGAGTTCCATCCTAGCACAGGGAAACACTTCTCCACTTCCCTCCATTATTTATGGACAGGAGTTTTTCTAGAGGGTGGGCAGGGATGAGGAACTGGAGATCCCGCCCTCGACTAGGACTGATGTGACGACACTAAGGACAGAACTTCTGGGTACATAAGCCACTTGGAGCTGACATGGTCTAACCAGTGGGACTCCCCGGGCACAACCAATTCCACAGCAGCCCTGTCCTCTCAGGAGCATCTTAGGGCTGAGGGCAGGGCCTGGCGGACGAGTGCCTGCCGAGGGTGTACGACCCTCCCTCTGCAGTGCTGAGGGAGAGGAGAAAGCTGCCTAGCATGGACCCCACACCTTGCGATTCTCCTCCTTCTCCAGATGCATGTAGTAGGTGGGGAAGAGGCCTCGGTCCACGCCTTTCTTGTCCCTGGTTACTCGACACCTCACCGTGATGCCCCTCGGGGCGGGACTGTATGCGAAGTCCTCTAAATTCTCCACCTCTCCAAGCTGGGCTTCACCTTGCTGGGCTGTGGCACCGGAAGCTCCTGTCTCCTGAAAATGGAGTTTTACATGAGCAACCGGAACTGGGAGCAAACTTCATCCTCTGCGACAGACACTTAGCCTGCAAAATCCTCCCATTGTCCTTAGTCCTCTCCCAAAGGGCAATCGGGCGAGTCAAAGAAATCAGGAGCCCCATGGGAAACACTTGCTGTGTTTGGGGATAACCACATTAGCGGACAACATACCAAGGCTGCTTTCTGGCTGGCCGCAGAGCTCTCTTTCTCTGAATGAGCAGACGGGGAGCTGACATGGTCTCCTTCCTCTTCCTCATTGTCAGTCTCTTCATCATAGTTCATACTACCCAAGATGCCTGGCAGAAAAGGAAGCACCGTCAGCAACTGCAACTGTGGTCTGAAAAGATCATATTGGAAATAAAGAGCTTTTACATTTTTTGTGCTTCAAACATTCCCAACTGGGACTAGCGAGAAGGCTCAGTTAAGGAGCTTGAGTTTAATTCCTAGGATCCACATGGTGAAAAGAAAAAAAGAACTAACTCCCTGAAGTTGCCTGACCATCACATGTGAGACGTGGCATGTACACATAAACACACACACACACACACACACACACACACACACACACACACACACACACACAAATGTAACAATAAATCACTAATTGGAACCAGATATGGTAGTGTATATCTATAATCCCAGTACTCAGGAGACAGAGGCAAAAAGATCAGAAAGTCAAGGCTGTCCTTGGTTACATATCAAGCTTGAAGCCAGCCTGAGCTACATAATACCCTGTTTCCCCACCCCCACCTCCAATTATGCTTCAGGCAAACTCCAAAGTCTTGCTATGGCCTCCTTTCTCTTCTTCCTCCTCCATTTTTAATATATTTGTTTTTGAGGCAAAGGTCTCACTATGGAGCTCTTGCTGTCCTGGAACTCACTATGCAGACCAGGCTGGCCTTGAACTCACAGCGATCCTCCTCCCTCTGCCTCCCTGGTTCTGGGAGTAAAGGTGGGCGCCACCATGTCCCTACATCCTCACGCCCAGAACTAGCCCCCCTAAGCTCTCCAGGCTCCCCCTGCCCCGCCTCCCACATCCTGCTCCACACACCACTGTTGTCACCTGAACCGGCCAGGCCCTGCGCTGTCAGGCCCTCACTTCCCTTGGGAACGTCCTCTGGGCAGCTTGCCAAACCACCCAATCTGGGTTAGGTGCTACCCAGGGACTCTTTGACACCTTTCCACTTCTAGCACAAAGCCACACTCACTTCTTTTTGAGACAGGGTCTCATGTAGCCCAGGACAGCCTTGAACTTGGTACATAGCCAAGAAGACCCCTGAAAGAACACCCGACCTCCGTCTTCCAAGGGTCACTCTCTGTTTCTTCAGTGCCGGTGACCAAGCCCAGGGCTTCATGCATGCTAGGCAAGCCCTCCACTAACTGAGCTGCATCCCCCAGGCCACAAAGCCTCAGTCACAAGTCAGAATAAACGCTCTCTGGGAGCATCTGTGAGAACAATGCTCAATACTATTATGCACTCAAAACCCATTTTGTTTTTCAAACTTGTAAAATGACATTTTAATGTGTTTATTCTGTGGTGTTGTTCCTCTCCTTCCACACGTGGGTTCTGAGAGTGCCAGGGAGGGAGTGCCTCTGCCCACTGAGCTAGCTCCTTGGCCCTCAGAACCTTTCTTGTATGTGGGTTTTTTGTTTTTTAGATAAATTAGTTTTAAAAAGATTTATTCATTTATTATGTATACAGTGTTCTGCCTGCATGAATCCCTGCAGGCCAGAAGAGGGCACCAGACCTCATTCCCGATGGTTGTGAACCACCATGTGGTTGTTGGGAATTAAACTCAGGACCTCTGGAAGAGCAGCCAGTGCTCTTTTTTTTTTGGTTTTTCGAGATAGGGTTTCTCTGTGGCTTTGGAGGCTGTCCTGGAACTAGCTCTTGTAGACCAGGGCTGGCCTCGAACTCACAGAGATCCGCCTGCCTCTGCCTCCCAAGTGCTGGGATTAAAGGCGTGCGCCACCAACGCCCGGCGCAGCCAGTGCTCTTAACCTCTGAGCCACCTCTCCAGCCCTGAACCTTTTTTTCTTTACAATTAAAATATATTTATTTAGTTAACAGGTGTGTGTGGAGAACGATATGTAGGAGTCAATGCTCTCCTTCCACCTTATGGGGTTCCAGGGATTGAACTCTGGCTGCCGGGCTTGGCAGCAAGTGTCTTTAACCAATAAGCCAGCTCGCTGACTCTCAGAAGCTCTTTTCTCCATGGATGAACATATGAACCTGCTTTGGTGTCCAACTACTCTACCACGCTGCAGCAGACTCTCCTGGGCCACCTCTCCCAGCTGGGAGTTGACAATGCGAGCACCTGGCATAGTTATTCCTTCCTGGCCTTCACCTTCTTCACTTGAAGGGAAGTTATATAGCTGAGCATGGTGGTAAATGGCTATGGTCTCAACATTCAAGAGGCTGAGACAGGATGATATCAAGTTGGAAGCCAGCCTGGGTCACACAGCAATACCTGTCCAAAAGGACAAAAGGGGGGGCGGGGCAAAGCCATATATAATAATGACTATTCTGTAGTCCATTGTCTTCTTTTCTCAGACACAGCATAAAAGACTTCTGTTGCCAAGCAACCCCACTTAGATGTCAAAGATGCTGACACCCCAAGCCACACTAAGCAAGCCTGGGACATTTAGATCATAACCCAACGGGAGAAAGGAGGACACCCTGCCTTAAACCCAGCATCATCCTCACCGTGTTTTTGGAGAATCTCCTGAAGGTCTGGCTTGGAGGCAGTCTCCTCAGGGCTTTCCCCATCTGGACTTCCTTCCGTGACCTCTTCTGGAGCAGGGGAGCCCACTGAGAGAACATGAGGCTTGCTTTCCAAATCCTGAGTCTCTGGCTTAAGGAAAGCAGCTGGGCCATCGATGCCTAGGAGCCCAGAGAGAGAGAGAGTGAATGTGAACCAGAATTCAGCAGGGCGGTTTGAGGGATGTGGTCAGAATCAAGGGCTACCCAGCCATCTCAATTCTCCTTCCTTAATGTCACAGGCTTGTATGGAACAGATTCTATTAGCAGGCCTGGCTACTCAAGTTGTATTTCAGAACCCATGAGTTAGACCAAGAGGTTGGAGTGTGGCTCAGCGACAGAGACTTTTCATTCATTTCGAGAATTCATGTATTCATTTCAGACAGTGCCGTTCATTCTGCATCAAAATCAATAGTTCTAGGATGGACATGAACTTGAAGGTGTCTCCCACGATCCCCCCAAGGATCCAGAGTGTGACTGCAAAGATTATGAAGGAACTTAGCAAGGGTGCCAGTACTATCTTTGGGTACCAAATCAGCATCCTCCGGTCTTATCTTGGGTCTACGAAAACTGTACTTTAGCCAGACGTGGCATTGCCTAAATACACACCATGTAGGATGACATCGCTGTGAGGCGTCTGAGGGTCCACCAAAGGCGTGTGCTCCTCACCACCTCTCGGCTTTAACCGTCGCAGCCTGGCTTCTGGGTTTGGTTGTACCATAAGTGGCTCAAGGCGTTTCTTTCTCTGCTTCTTCTCCAGCAGTGCCCTCTAGAGAGAAGATTCAGTATTACAGCATGGTACCTACCCTCTTGGAATAGCTTAGACTGCTTTGCTTTTCTTTTTAAAAACTAATCCTAAAAATTTCTTTTTGTTTCACAAGAAATGCAAACACTCCGTCTGGGTGTGGTGGCACACATCCTTAATTCCAGCACTGGGGAGGCAGAGGCAGGCAGATCTTGGGAGTTCGAGGCCAGCCTGGTCTGCAGAGTGAAGAAATGGAAACACTCAGGCAGGTAAAAGCAAGGTAAAGAGCCAGGGGCCAGGGCAACTCTGCAGAACGCTTGTTTGTGTGTTAGCTACTTATGTTGCGGTGATAAACACCATGGCCCAAACAACTCCATAAGATGTGCCTTTAAGCAAGTCTGGAGAGCACTTTCCTCATGAACATGGTCAAGGTATTTATCCTAGCAATAGAAACTTAACTAAGATGGGCATCGCCAGACAGATGGAGCTGCTTGTACTTCAGCCTCTAAAACTGTGAGCTAAATAAGTTTCAGGTATTTTGTTATGGCAAAAGAAACAGGCTAATACATCTCTTGCTTGTTTGTTTATTTATCTATTTGCTTTCGCATTTTGAGGTAGGGTCTCCCTACGTGGCTCAGACTAGCCTTGAACTCGCAGTGATCAGCCTCTCTAGAGCTGGGATTACCAGTTAGTGCTGCCATGCTCAGCTGGCATTTTTCTAGTTCTTCTAGAAGGTGCCAGGAGATTTCCACTGATTATTAACAAGGCCAGTTTATTGCTACCATCTTCAAGTCACCCTGCTCTTGCCACAGCCCAGAGCTTTGGCTTGGCAACTAAGTTCACACACTGTTTAATGAGTAGCCGTGAGCGATCCTGCCCTTCCGGTCTTTCCGTGAGATCCCGTCATGACGTCAGAGCCCAGGCAGTTAGCTCCAGTCAGGGTGGTCCTCAAGGAGCCCCTGCTCACCTGGTTGTCCAGCTTCAGCTGTCGAAGCCTCTGTGTCTCATCTTCAAAGGCACTGTTTCAAAAACAAACAACAATAAAAAAGAAAGCACATAAAGACAGAATCATCTAAAAGTCTGGCCACTTCATTTTTTTTCATACATGCCCTCCAGTGGGCTAACTGGAAACAATGGATTCTGCCTTAGAGGACGTGCCTGTTTCCAGGTGTTGCCTACATTCAAGCTAGATCCAATCACTGCCACACAGACCCACCCACTCCCTACAGGCCCACCCACTCCCTACAGGCCCACCCACCCACTCCCTACAGGCCCACTCACTCCCACACAGAGTGTAGAGGCCCAAGGAGACTAGAGTGCACAAAGGCTAAGACGCTAACACAAACCCATGCACGGGAGACTTCTTTTTCTTCCCGTCTGTCCTCTGTCTCCCCTCCCTCCCACCTTGTTTTGTGCTGAGCCTGTGCACTGAGCCACACCCAGGTCTTTCTTTTTCTTAAAGTTTTATTTATTATGTACAAAGTGTTCTGCCTGCATGTAACCTGCAGGCCAGAAGAGGGCACCAGGTCTCAATACAGATGGTTGTGAGCATGGTTTCTGGGAACTGGAACTCAGGACCTCTGGAAGAGCAGCCAGTGCTCTTAACTGCTGAGCCATCTCTCCAGCCCCCTTTCCACGCCCCCCCCCCAGTCCTTTCTTTTTGTTTTAAACTGTGCATCAAGTACTCATCTCGTTCCAAAGCAACCTGGCTTCATGCTCTGTGTGTGTCTTGTTTTGTTGATTCCTTAAAGCAACCTCATGAATCAGGACCAATTTCTCATACTGAACAAGAGAGGCCTGGAGAGTCATGCCGAAGTTTAACAGCCAGGTCCAAACCGCACCTAAAAATCAGTTTATTGTACTTCTTTTTTGGAGCTACTTCGCTGACAAAACAGGGACTGGGTGTCACAGCTACTAACCTAAGATGTGCCACGGAGCCATGCATGGCCGATCACACCTGCAATGCCAGTCCTGGAGGCGGGGTGGAGCTGGGACCACCCTGACTTTGAGGACAGTCTGGGGCTTCATGGTGTCTCAAAATCCACAAGGTCTGCCATTAGTAACATCTGTTCTGCAGATAATTGCTAAGGAATATACAGACTGCCACCCCCGGGAGCCAGAAAAGGGCATTACATCCCTGGAGCTGGAGCTACAGGTTGTGAGCCGCCATGTGGGTGTTGGCAGGACTCAACTCAGGTCCTTTGGAAGAGCAGCAAGTGCTCTTACCACTAAACTATCTCTCCAGGCTCCCTTTCAATCTACCATCCACCCATCCATCCATCCATCCATCCATCCATCCATCCATCCATCCATCCATCCATCCACCCACCCACCCACCCATCCACCCACCCACCCACCCACCCACCCACCCACCCATTCACCCACCCATCCATCCATCCACCCACCCACCCATCCACCCACCCATCCATCCACCCACCCATCCACCCACCCACCCATCCATCCATCCATCCATCCACCCACCCATCCTCTAGTGTTTTGGGTAGTAATAGGGATTGAATCCCGGGCCTTGGTTAGACTAAGAAAGGAATCTACCACAGAGCCACACTCTGAGCTCAGGGACAGATTTATTGTTAGAAAAAAAATGGCCGCCGGGCGTTGGTGGCTCACGCCTTTAATCCCAGCACTCGGGAGGTAGAGGCAGGCGGATCTCTGTGAGTTCGAGACCAGCCTGGACTACCAAGTGAGTTCCAGGACAGCCTCCAAAGCCACAGAGAAATCCTGTCTTGAAAAAAAAAAAAAAGAAAAAGAAAAAGAAAAAAAATGGCCAAGCTGGAAAGTGGTGGCCAAGCCTTTAATCCCAGCATTCAGGTGGTAGAGGTGTTGTTCTCTGTGAGCGCAAGGCCAATCTGGTCTACAAAGCTACACAGAGAAACCCTGTCTCAAAAAGACAAAAAAAGACTCTGCCTCAAAGACAAAGCAAGGCTGGAGAGATGCCCAGTGGTTAAGAGCACTGAATGTCCAGCTCTCCAAAGGTCATAGCAACCACATGGAGGCTCACAACCATCTGTAATGAGAGCTGGTCCCTCTTCTGGCCTGTAGGTATACATTCGGGCAGAACACTGTATACATAATAAGTAAATAAATCTTTAAAAAAAAAGATAAAACAAAACTGGCTATGGGTATAGCTCGGTGGGAGAAGGCTTCAGACATAAGGCCATAGTTTCAAACCCCATCACCGCAGAACAAACTGAACAAAGGAACGAACAAGAAAACCACAGAGCATTTACCACACCGGCCCCTCCCCCAAGCTGCAGTCCATTTCTGCTTCCCCTATGGGGTCCCCACATTCCTCCTGAGATGTTTCTATTTCCATCCTCTCGTTTCTTAAATCCTAGCTGCGTTAACAGTGTGAACAGTGATAGATTCCTGTAGATTTTCAAAGATGGCATCTAAATAACTGAGACAAATGAACCCACCACGAACAGTATGTGGGAAAGTGTTAACCGGGAGAAAAAGACTTCAGGACTACAATTAGTATTTCCCAACAGCTGCTGCCACGCTGTCCTCAACTCTAAACCAAAATTGCGATGCCTTCTGGCACAGATGAAAACCATCCCCTCTCCTCACCATACCTCCCTAGCGCTGAAACCTAAACACGCCACACTCTGAACACAACTGAAGCCTCAAGCATTCCTTCATGGCCTCTAACAGTCAGGACGCTGAGCTTGTCTTCAAGGCTGCATCCAGACACCACTCAATTCCGTCCAGCAAGCCTGGGCGAGTTGAATAGATGTAAATAACAGGGTATCAGGAAAGCATCTGCCCTAAGCAGAGCAGTAAACAGATGCTATAGGCCTGTAACACCTACACTTCATAGCCACAGGTCTAAATCAAACCATAGGCTGAGGACAGGGTTCAGCGGCAGAGAGCTCGCCTAACCTGCACAAGGCCCTGAAAAAATAAAGAAAAAGTAAACTGAAATTCTCATTTAGCAAAAACTGAAATGTGCACTTTAGAGGCAGCACCCTCTTCAGGCCCCGACTCCAGCTTTGAGAGTCTTCCATATGGATACAATAGTTTATTTTCTCTCTTTCTGTTCCATCCTCCTGAAGCCCCTGAGACTCAACTCCCCACAGCCCCACTTACTAAGACCATAACTCTGCTGATTTGATTAACTGGTGGGAGGGTACAGGACATACACGCTTACATCACAGGACTCCACGGAATATGGCCAGTGAGCAGAGGGGAATGGCAGAGGAGACTGAGAGCTTGACTATGATGAAGATGGCCCAGCCAGGACTCCAACGGTTTTACATAGCAAAACCTGTCTAAACAACCAAGCCAAACCCCCATTAAGATCTCTGGTAATGAGATGTTGAGGTACTGTGTTCTTGATTTTTTTTTTTTATTGTTGTTTGCTTTTGGGTTTTTGTTGTTTTTTGAGACAGGGTTTCTCTGTGTAGCCCTGGCTGTCCTGAAACTCACTTTGTAGGCCAGGCTGGCCTTGAACTCACAGAGATCCACCTGCATCTGTTCCCAAGTGCTGGGATCAAAGACATCTGTCTGACTACTGCCCAGCTTAAATGTTTGTTTGTTTGTTTGTTTGTTTGTTTTTTTAATGTGAGGGACCACTATTACATAAGAGGTATACTGAGTTGAAAGGTAACGTATACTCCTCCTGAGTACTGGGACTAAAGTAGTGTGCCTCTCCTGCTGCCAATGCCACCACCCAGCTTTTTTAAAAAATTATTTATCTTTTTTTTTTTTTAATGTGCCGGGTGCCTCATTCCCTGGAACTGGAATGACAGACAGTTGTGAGCTGCCATGTGGTTACTGGGAATTGAACCCAGGTCCTCTGGAAGAGCAGTCAGTGTTCTTAATCACTGAGCCATCTCTCCAGCTCCCTAATTTCTTTCTTTTAAGTAATAATTATAGACAGTTTATTAGGAAAGACAAAGACACTCCCAAAATGGGTGTGGGTGAGACAGGAAAGGCATAGATACAAAAGTCACTTTTTATTCCCAAATAAAACAGTAAGAGTTACAAAACAAGACATTTTGATAAAGGTTTACTTCATAACTATGGGCTGAGTAACTTATCAGTTCCTCTGCCCTTGATCTGCCTGCTTCTGCTTCCCGGTGCTGGGATTAAAGGAGCATCTCACTGTGCCCAGCCTGCCCTTGAACACCAACCAGTTACAACACTCACGGTATTTCCAGGGAGCAAGACAAGGTGAACTCAGAGGACGTTTGCCCAAGATCAAACAAGCTAGCTCGCTCACTGGAAGACCTCTCTCCCTTCTACTGCTGCTGCTGTGGAGGGCTCTGCCTCCGACAGACACTTGCTTAACTGTTTCAAACACCCAATAACCACGAACAAGCTCTGCCTCTAGGTCTCACACTCAACGTTCCCGGCATGTTCTCCGGAGCTCACTGCAACTGAACAGCCATGAGTAATTGATGGCTCCATCAGAGAAGGATGCTGAGTGATGCAGCCAGGGATGCAGTTGCTCAGCAAGCCCCTGAGTCCTGGGGAGAGCAAAGTCATCTACAGGAAGGGATCAGGATAAGGCTTCCAAAGTGACGGCAGTGAGACTCCATCACGGCTTTCTGGGGAGGGGCTGGAGTAAACAGTTCCTTTACTGGTTCTTGAACATCACAAACACTGCTTGTCAGTCTCAGACATTAAATTAACAGTGAGGAGACAACCAAGAATGGCTTATCCGGGGTACTAAATGACGCTGGGGGGAAGTGACAGTAACAACGCTTATGAGAAATAAATCACTTGGTGTGCAACAAGAAGCACTGGTAAGATTATCTATCTAGCGTGTGATGAATGGCATCCAGAGGCAGGAGAATCTCTGTGAGTTAGAAACCAGCCTAACGTACATAACAAGTTCTAGGATAGCCAGGAGATACAGAGACCCTGTCTCAAAAAAAAAAGGAAAGAAAGAAAAGAGACGGCACCGAGCAGTAGTGGCGCAGCCTTTAACCCCAGCACTCGGGAGGCAGAGGCAGGTGGATCTCTGTGAGTTCGAGGCCAGCCTGGTCTACAGAGCGAGTTCCAGGGCAGGCTCCAAAACAATACAGAGAAACCATATCTCAAAAAACCAAAAAAGCAAAGAGACGGCAAAAACGTGAATGGGTGTGGTGACACAAGCCTACACCCAGCACACTAAGGAGCATTCTATATCGTGCAAGGCCAGACCGCTGGCCTATCTAGGGAAGGGACTCAATTATTCTGTACCATGTCTCCATGACCATCAATCAACACGCCCGGAAGATACCTGAGTCGAGATGAGCAATCAGACTCCCTTGCCTGTGATTTGACACTGGATCTCAGGGATCTAGTTCAGTGCCAGCTCTCTGAGGACACTGAGACACTCTAAGTGAGGCTACGTGGTTCTGCAACCATGAAGCTCAACTACTACACTGGAATATGTACTAAAGGGGACTGTCACTTTATACTTCAGTAGTAATCAAGAACACTAAGCCACCAGCAAATAACTGATACCACACAGACCAGCAGTAGACCTCCACTCTAGGGTAAGATGGGCTATAGTGGAAGTCTGAAGAAAATGAACACTTTAGGAAAGGAATTTGTGTGTGTGTGTGTGTGTGTGTGTGTGTGTGTGTGTGTGTGTGTGTATACATGCACACACTTGCTCATGGACACACATGCATGTGGTATATGCATCCATGCATATACAGGTACATGAACCTGTGCACATACATGTAGAGGCTAGAGAACATCGGAACATTCATCCTCTGCCTCATACCCTTGAGACAGGGTCTCTCACTGAACTTGCAACTACGCTGGCAGCCACCAAGCTCCCACAATCCTGCCTGTCTCCTTTCTATATAATGCTGGAGATAAAGGC